CAGGCGACGGAGCTGGGGGCACCCTGGGTGCTGGTCCCTGGGGTGGGTGCAGGATCCCAGGGAGGGTGCTGGGGTGGGTGCTGGTGCTGAGGGTGGGTGCTGGTGCTGAGGGTGGGTGCTGGTGCCGAGGGTGGGTGCAGGACCTCATCATGGGTGATGGTCCCCCAGGTAGGCACAGGTCCCCAAAGTGGGTGCAGGTCCCTGAGGTGGCCATAGGTCCCCAGGGTGGGTGTAGGTCCTCAGGGTGGGTGTAGGTCCCTGGGGTGGGTGCAGGACCCCAGCATGAGTGCAGGTCCCCCAGCTGGGCACAGGTCCCCAGGGCAGGTGCAGGTCCCCAGGGTGGATCCAGCCCTGCCCTGACCCCCGTCCCCCCACCCTCAGGGTACCTGTGGGGCTCAGCCGCGCTGGGCACCCCCTTCACCTGCGATTTCGAGGAAGGCGACTGCGGCTGGCGGGACGTGAGCACCTCGGCTTACAGATGGGTGCGGGGCCGGGCCAGCCTGGCCACGTGGGGCACGGGTCCCCACTCAGACCACACTGTGGGCACCGACCTGGGTAAGCGGGAGCCGCTCGGCTGCTGAGCAGGGTCCAGGCACCCACAGCACTGCACCTCCGGGCCATGGGTGCCCTGAAGCCAGGGTGCCGGGACACCCATCCTTGTAGGGTGCAGGGGATGGAGCAGACCCATGGTGGGGCAGGAGCGGTGCTGCCGCAGCTCCAGTGCCATCCCATGGGGCTGCAGCCCCTGCTCTGCTCTCTGCCCTCCCCAGGGTGGTTCATGGTGACCGTGTCCCCCTGGGCAAAGACCACGGCGACGGCCTGGCTCAGGTCACCGGTGATGCAGGAAGCAGCCGCCACGTGCGAGATCAGGGCCTGGTACCACCTCTCGGGAAGCGGTGAGGGTGCCCACGGTGGGCACGGACGGGCCTTGGGGTACTCGGCACAGGGAAGTGACGGTGGGTGGCAGTGGGGAGGGATGGGACTATCTGCTCCCATGGCAGGGACAGAGCCACTGGTACCTCAAGATGGGTCCTTGCCATCCTGCTCGCCTCCTCTATGCTCTGCAAGCAGAGCTGGTGGGATCCAGGGGTCTCGTCTCCAGTCGCCAGAGCTGGTGGGGCTCGGTTTGTCCCCACTGGGATGCCCAGTGCCAAGGGCCACGTTTTGGGGCTCCCCGCAGGGCTCAACCAGACGGAGCAGCCGGTGCTGCGCCTGGCCATGGTGTACAGGGACGAGGCGGTGGGGCTGTGGCAGAGCCCCGAGCGCGGAGGCGAGGGCTGGCACCAGCTGGTCGCCTACACAGGCCGGATCACGGGGCAGTTCCAGGTGAGACAGGGCCATGTCGGTGCCCGGGCACCGTCCCCGCCAGCTGGGGCCGGAGGTGATGCCCCAGGAGCCGAGGATGCCTGGGCAGCTCATGCCATCCCCGTCCTCTCGTCGGCAGCTCATCTTCTCCCTGACACAACCACCTGCGTGCGGGGTAGAGCTGGCGCTCGACGACATCATCTTCAGGAACTGCGGCTTGCAGGGTGAGTCCCGCATCCGCTGGGATGAGATGTGAGCCGGAATCCCCAGGGAAATTGGTTTGGGCTTCGCACCCCGGGGGAGCTCTCCCACTGCCCGCTGTGTCTTGGGGGCACCTTGCCTTGGCCAGGGCATGAGGCAGGCAGCGAAAGCCTGTCCCTCGAGCAACCCAGGGATGCCAGCGGGGCCAGCCGTGTGCTGACGGCGCGTCCTACCGCCCCAGAGCCCAGGCAACAGGTCTGCGGGGCGGAGGAGAGCGCCTGCGGCCAGGGCTCCTGCCTGGCACGGCACCGCTTCTGCGACGGCACCGATGACTGCGGAGACGGCTCGGACGAGGATCCAAAGTTGTGCAGTGAGCATCCCTGGCCCTGGGGAGGGGGTCCTGCCCCCCGGCCACACAGACGGGCTGAGGGTCTGCCCTGGCAGGACAAAGCTGGGCCGTGGGGCTGGCAGGGTTCACCCCAGCTGTGCCCCATGGCTGTGCGGCTGGAGGGGTAAAATCACCCCACGAGTTTTGGGGAGGGGGACAGCCCTTCACAGGGACCTCCCTGGGTCACTCTGCTCTCCCTCCCTCCCTGCAGAGTCCTTCCTCCGCTGCTCCTTTGAGCAAGATCTCTGCAACTGGAAGGCAGAGGTCGGGCAGCTGGCATGGGAGAGGAACACGAGCCTGAACCTGGGGACCGCGTACAGCATCCCCACCCGGGACCACAGCAATAACAGCAGGGCAGGTGCGTGGCCGGGCACCGGCACCCCAGGGGAGCCCCACCGTGGGTCCCCGGGGCATCGCTGGCCCCGGGGCGGACGTGCTCTCCGGCCCTGGGGTAACACACGCCTGGGCTCGGCTTAAGGCTGTGCTGGGAAAACAACGCCTTGCACCCACATGCCCCATGTGGCACCGCTCAGCCCCTTCCCGGCATCTCCCGCAGGTTTTTTCCTCCACGTGGGCAGCGATTCGGCAGCGGGGGCCAGCGGCCCGGCCCAGCTCAGCAGTCCCATTTTCCAGGCCACCAACTCCTGCTCCGTGAGTCACAGCTGGGACCCTGCGTCACAGCCCGTGCGGGCGCGGCGGTGGCAGGGGACAGGGTCCCCAGCTGTGGGGACCCCCACATGGGGCTGGGGCTGCCATCGGTCCTTTGCTGGGGATGGGCAGCGGGTGTTTGGTTTGGTGGCATCTCCGGTGCCTGTCGGGAGCTCTGAGCTCCTCCAGCCCCACCTTTGTGAGCATCCCGTGGGGTGGCAGCCGCGCCGTGGGGCGCAGGGGGGCTGCGTGCCCCTGTGCTGAGGTTTGGGTGCTCGCTCAACCCCCTCCCCGTCCCCAGCTTGTGCTGTACTGCTACCTCCACGGCTCCACCACCACCCACCTCAGCATCTCCTATGTGATCAAATCCACCAAGTACCTGGTGAGGGAGAGGATGGGGGACCTGGGCAGCTGCTGGGTCCGGGAGAGAGTGGACTTCAATGTGACGGACAGCTTCAAGGTCAGCTGGCGCAGCGCTGGGGCAAGCTGGGCTGCATGCGGGACGAGGGGCACGGGGCCACCCCACAGAGGGCACAGGGCCACCCCCAGTACGCACCCATGGGACCAGGGGTAGGGGTTGACCTGGGAACTGGACCCCAGAGCTGAGCCTCCTGGTGCTGGCATGTGCCACCTTCGTGTCCCTGTGCCCACACCTCCAAATCGCCCTACCACCCCCCCCAGCCCAGGGACCACTCCACTGGAAAGGGGAGGGCAGAGGTGTCTTCATCCACCCCATCTCACCCCGTGCCTTCCCGCTGTCCTGTCTGCTGTCCCCCATGGCCACCCGCGCAACCCGACCCCCTCCCAGCTGGCCCTGGAGGGCACCCAGTGGCACCCCAATGGCATCCTGAGGGCACCCAGCCAGCACCCCTGGGCAGCCGCAGGCCATGGCTGTGTGCAGGGGCAGCACTGTCACCCCAAGCCCTCCGTGGCCCTGCCAGCCCCACCCCATGCACCCCTTCCAGCCACGGCATCACCCTGCTCCCGCGGAGCCCTTCCTGGGGGAAGCGCGTGTTGTCCATCACAGGAGCTGGGTTCCCCCGTCCTGCGGCTCCTCGGTGGCCACCCTGCCCCGGCAGCATCGCCCATCCCCGCCACGCTGTGCAAGACCCTGCGTTGACCTCGCCGGTGCGGTGCTTCCCTGCAGGTGCTGATCGAGGGGGTGGCCAGCGGCACGGGGACCGTGGCCATCGATGACCTGATCCTGTCTCCGGGCTGCATTCAGGCACAGGGTGAGCCGCAGGGCAGCTGTCCCCGACCCCGGCTGCAGCGCGGGCAGCGATCCCCAGGTGTCTTGCGTCCATGGCAGCATCCCTGAAGGACCCGCCGCAGGGTCTGCCCGTCCCGCTGCTCATCACGGTGACCATCCTGGGCGCAGCATGGCAAGCACTTGCCCTGGGGTCCCCAGCCCGGGTTGCCTGGTGTCCTTTTCCTGCAGCTGTGACACTCCAGCCCCTGCGCCAAACCTCCTGCCCGAGCCATGTCACACGAGCAGCTCTCCCCAACCCGCTCCGTCCCCTTCGTCCCCTTCGTCTGGTGGCAGCAGACAGGGCAGGGCAGGGATGGGGCTGGGGGCAATGGAGAGCCAGGGAGATGGCGAGGGACAGGGGACCACAGCTTGAAGGGGTGACACCGATGATGCTGCCGGGCCCTCTCACCGCCGCTCTCCATCCTGGGGCGTTTCGCCATTAGAGAAGCTTTTGACCCCGCTGCCAAGCCGGGCGCGTGCCGGCCCCTGCGCGGCTCAGGAGGTGGCCTGTGACAGCGGGGGCTGCATCAGCGCGGAGCTGGCCTGCGACTTTGCCAAGACGTGTGCCGATGGCTCCGACGAGAAGCGCTGCGGTGAGAGCCACGGGCAGGCAACCGGCTCCCTGGTAGCCAAGTGGCGGAGGGGACCAGGGCAGGGTGACCCGGGCACCCGTTGGCTGGCACGGCTGGGGGCTGTGGGTGCCCACGCAGCTCCCGGGAATCATGGTGGCCTGGTGGGGCTGAGCCCGGGCTTTTGCAGGAGCGACCACCTTCGAGGCAGGGCCTGGGGGCTGGCACGATGTCAGCGTGGGACGGCTGCGCTGGGCTGTGCAGAGGGCCACCAAGGCTGCCGACACCGTCCTCACAGGTGAGGCCATTCCCACCGCAAAGACTGTGCTCTTTGGTCCCCAGCACCGTGGGGGCTCCCAGGGTGCAGGGACCCCCTGCTCGCCTGGCCGGGGTGGGTGGGCGCCACCATGGGAAGGGTGGGGGTGATGCCTGGGCAAGGTGTGGGGCTGGGGGTGCTGCCAGGGATGCGAGGCCCCTGCCCCGACTTCTCAGGGTGTTTCTTTGCCCAGGGGCTTTCCTGGGACTCCAGGCAGGAGAAGGACAAATGGTGGCTGCTGCAAAGGCACGCACGCCTCTGCTGGGCCCCTCCGGCCCTGCCTGCACCATGGAGATGAGCTACCACATCCACGGCGGCCCTCAAGGTAACCCCCCTGCCCAGCCCCGGGGTGCCCTGCCTGCTCCCTGCCCAGCCCCAGGGTGCCCTGCCTGCTCCCTGCCCGGCCCTGGCACACGGCAGAGCCCCCGACCCCCTGCCTGCCTTTGCTGCCTCGCTCAGCCCTGCTCTGCCCCATCACACCATCCTGGAGCCAGGGTGTCCCTGTCCCTGTCCCCTGTGACCGTGGGCTGGGTGGGTGCCAGGGGGGCTCCCAGGATGCGGCCGGGGGCTGCTGGTCCCTGCAGCCTCCTCACTGCCTCTCACACCCAGGCTTCCTCGCCGTCAGCATCGCGGATCACACCGCTGGCACCACCCAGCTGGCCTGGCACACGCCAGCACACAGCAGCGCAGCCGGGGGACACGTCCGCATCCCACTGGGGGAGAGGACACGGCCCTTCCAGGTGCGCCTGGGGGCACAGGGACCAGCCCGGGTGGCTGCTGGCGGGGCAGTGCCGGTGCCACCAGGCACCCCGGGGCTCACCGCCGCCGTGCCATCCCCAGGTTGAGCTGCTGGGGCTGGTGGATCTGCAGGACTCGGCGAGCGCCGCCGTTGACAACGTGATGTTTGTGCAGTGCCACCCCAACGTAGTGCCGCCGGGGGCTGCGGGTACGGCCAGGGACGCGTGGGCGGGGAGGGCAACCGTGGGCGGGAAGGGACCCTGGCCCCCTGCCCATGGAGATGGGTGCTGCTCCCCCAGGGGTGCCTGGTGACTGCCACCCTGTCCCCAGCCTGGGGACAGGCCCATGGTGCAGAAGCCCTGGGGCCGGGGCTGAGCATGCATCTTGCCCCAGGGCACCTGTGTGGGGTGAACTCGGGGAATGGGGCAGAGGAGCAGAGAGAAAGGGACATTTTGGAGACCTGTTTGCTTTTGGGGTGCCTTATCCCCACTCCCTTGCCACGGTCGCCTCTCTCCGGCCAGAGCTGACCTGCAACTTCGAGAGGGGCATGTGCGGCTGGTACCAGGATCAGTCCAGCGACTTCCAATGGGTCCACGGCACAGGGCAGGGGCAAGGCTCTGACCACACCACTGGCTTGGGTAAGGGGCTGGGTCCTCTCCTGGGGACCCCAGACAGCTCAGGGGACCCCACAGCCTCCCGTCCCCAGGGCCAGAACATGTCCTGCGCACTCCAAGCAGCCCCATGCCCATGGGGCGAGCTCAGCTGGGGCAGCCCAGGGGCACCCGGAGCCAGGACCGGGATGCAGGTGATGCGGGCACAGCTCAGAGCACCCATGTCCATGTCCCCTCCACCCTGGCTGTCCCTGACACTCAGGCTACTTCTTGGCTGCGGACCCCTCTGCGCCGTGGAGCCGTGGGCAGCGGGCACGGCTCATCACCTACCGCCAGGAGCCCGCCGCCACCCCGCACTGCCTCTCCTTCTGGTACCGCCTGGCCGGCCCGCAGATCGGTACGCAGCCCCATGGCACCCTCCCAGGGATGCCCCAGCCAGGCTCTGCTCCCCTGGAGACAGCAGGGTCCCTGAGGGGTGCAGGATGGCTGCCTGACGCTCCCCTCTGCCCAGGCACCCTGAACCTCAAGCTGTGGCTGGAGGGAGCGGAGGAGACGGTGCTGTGGACCCAGCGAGGGACCCAAGGCAGCATCTGGCACAGGGGCCGGGCGACGCTGCCTGCCACAGGCCGGCGGCAGTACCGGGTGAGGGCTGGGAGCCTCCCGTGCCACCAGGCACCGGCGGCGCGCAGGGCCATCTGACGCCGCTGTGTTGGTGGCAGGTGGCCTTCGAGGCCCTGCGGGATGGGTTCCTGGGGGACGTGGCGTTGGATGACCTGGCGCTGACGGCGGGGCCCTGCGGGGCCGAGCTCTCCTGCTCCTTCGAGGCGGATGCCTGCGGGTTGGTAGCCAGTGGGCAGAGCACCTGGCTGCGGCAGAGCAACAGCACCGGCACCACCACCGGCCCCCTGGCTGACCACACCACTAGCACCGCCGCAGGTACTGGGGCCACGGCTTCCCGGGGCTCTGGTGGAGCCCTGCTGCCTGCCCTGCCCTCGCTGCCTGCCCTGAGTGTCCTGCCTGCCCTCCCTGCCTGCACTGAGCACCCTGCCTGCCCTCCCTGCCTGCTCTGCTGAGCAGAGGGCAGGACGTGTGCAGAGGGCACTACTGTATGGGACTCCCCAACCCTGGGGCTCCCCAGGCCTGGAGTTTCCCAGCCCCAGGGCTCCCCAGCCCGGGGGGGCTCCCCGGCCCCAGCGGGCCCCCGGTGCCCCCCAGCAGGGCTGGGTGGGGGTGACGGCGTGGGGGGCTTCTCTCCCCCAGGCCATTACATGGTGGTGAGCACGGGCTGGGGCTCCCTGCCTGCGGGGCGTGCAGCTGCCCTCACCTCCCAGCCCTACCAGCCCTCCGCACCTGCCCAGTGCCTGGCCTTCTGGTACCAGCTGAGCACCGGGACCCCAGGTGAGCACCGCAACACCCTGCGAGGCCCCCGGGGACACGTCTGGATGGGTGGGGGTCCCGCACGGCACAGCCCCGGACCCCCCCCTCCATGGCGGGTGACCCTGGGCAGGCTCCCTCGGCGTCTTTGTGGAGCAGAGCGGGGTGCGGAGGAAGGTGATGGGTGTGAGCGCCATGGAGGGGGACGCCTGGCACCGCGGCCACGTCACCGTCCGGCCAGATGGGGACTGGCAGGGGGGACGGGGGGGGGGGGCCGGGGGCCC